ATTTTTACACAGGACTGGATTTTTAAAGAGAGCTGGATTTCTGAACAGGACTGGATTTTCAAACAGGCCTCAGGCAAGATCTACAAATATTTTATACGCCCCAGAAGAAGTTTGTAYTTGGTGAAAGAGAACAAGATCCTCCCCAAACAAGAGCCTTCCCTCCAAGGATCCCACCCTGGCAAAGGAAAATTGAAACATCTGGCAGCTGCAGGATTTGCCGTGGTTTTTCAACCCAAATTTTCCAGCAGAAAAGGTCCAGCAAGGACAAACTCTGCTTCCATCCCCCTCCTGCAGGAGGTGGCTGGATGAGAAATGGGAATTCTGGCCTTGCAGAGACACCAGATTCACACAGAGCTGCCTGTCAGTGCAGACAGAAAATAAAAGCCCCTTCAAGCACTGAAAATCCATTTGTGATGGATTTTCATCCATTTTCATCCATTTTCATCCATTTTCTTCTTCAGAGAATTTACATTTGAGAATACTGAGTGATTTTACAGCAGAGATCTTTTTTTTTTCAACTATAAATACTGCTGCCAGTGTTTTAATTGGGGATTAAAATCCTTAATAATGTGAAATGAAAGGAAACAGACAACTCCCAGGATCTTCAGTCAGAATGGGCGTTCTGGGTGTTTAATTAAGACTCTGTTCCTTCCTAACCTTCACTTCATAAATTATTCCAGTACCACCCTGCTGATCAAACCTGGCCTGCAGCTCCCTTTGATTTTCAAAGTCAGCCTCCACTGTGGGACTCTGTCAAACCCAATGGACATTTTGGGAGAGGAGCAGTGGAAAAACCTGCTTTTCTTTTCCCCTGCATTTCTTCTGACTTCACTTTTCACATCTCCAGCAGGCACGAAAGCCACGAGAAGCAACTTTTAGATCAAGGTTACTCAAAAAAAAAACCATCTGAGCAGTGTTATTTTAAAGACATCAGCCTGAARCCACTGGAAAAGGCAACGAACTGCAGGGCAGCTGCTGCACAGAAGATCCCTGTTCCTCCCCACAGCTAATTCCCACCAGGAAAAAGGGAAAAATTACAAAAACAGGCTGGGGAGCAGGAAAGGGCTGTGCTGGCAGTCACGGGATAAACCCAACCCCAGGTTTTGTGGCCTTCAGCAGATTCCTTCGTCTGCCAGAGATAAAAAAGCCGAGGACGCCGGAGGGGGATGCTCTGGAAAGAGCTCAGCTCAAAGAATTGGGAAGGATTTCACTGCCTTTTGGGCTGCAGAAATTTATCAAAGTACTTATTTTAAAGGATGAGAGGAATATGGAAAAAATTGCAAACAAACCACAGTTAAAACAGCAAAGACAGAAAGGAGAAACATTTACACACTGGCTTTTCCTACCAGAGAGAATAAACAAGGAAATTTCCTGATTTCCTCATTTTCTTCATTTCTGCCCCTTAAATTCAATGCAAAAGCAGTCAGGCAGTTAAAAAAATGAGGTGAAGAGCGTCACCAATCCTGCCAAGGGTTTTATATTTGTTCTGCCCCAGAATAAAATTAAATCAGCAGGGTTTGGGACCTGTTGTGCTGCTTTGTATTTTGCATGAAAGGAAGGAACCAGAGCAGACTGGAAACTCACCTACATAGGCAGACTTGCTCCCTGTCCAGCTTGCCTTGATTTTATCAGAGTAATGATCCTGAAACAAGAATAAAATCARAATTATGAGGATTTCACAGTGCAAGGAAGTCAAAGCTCAGGGGGGTTGGCACTTGTGGTTTAATGCTAATCACAAAAACTACAGAATTTTGAGATCACCTCAAACTGGGACAGTGGGAGGTATTTCTGTCCAGGGCAGGGGTGGCACTGGATGGGCTTTGAGGTCCTTCCAACCCAAACCATTCCAGGGTTACTTTGTCCCTGGACACTCTGAGCTGTCAGCCTGCAGTGAGATGTTCTCAAAGCTGGGTTTAAATCACTGCATAAACAAATCTGAGAGCCCACATTCCCTACAGAGGCCTTTACACACCTGAAAAAAA